TATAAGCGTTTGTCGATCCCTTTTTTTTAAATGAAAAATCGACGTTCAGTTTTATTACAACACAAACCAAATACCACGGTCCCTGTATTCTATTTCAATAATTTCGTTGGTTATTTTCTACCGGAGTTTCATTTTCATCATTTGAAGTTTCGTCACTATCTTCATGTGGTCGTGGGTCGWAATCACTACGTTGTAAGCGACCGCGATTATATTTTCGTTAAAATRTAGGTACCTATCTGTTATCGGTAGATCACTAGATCACACGTTGTACYTACAACGCTTTTTTCGCAGATAGCCGTTTATCGGTAGATCACACATTGGACCGGTCCCGAAATTTATATGAGGGTTTTGTTTGACGCTCTATTTTTGTGTATAAGCAGTACTCGATGTTCTATAAAGTGATAAAATGGTTTTTTTTTTCAAAAAAKATACGYACAATTAAATAGGTAGGTARTAGGTTGATATAATAATTATATTAAATTATGGAGTTCGAGATATTCAACTCCGCAGCCCTCAGTATTGGTCGTATTGTACAAGCGTTTTGGGGTGGTAAATTACGAGCTAGCCGTAACGTGGAATTTGTTTGAATAAAGAGGCATATGACATATGGAGATTTGCACATCGGAGCACCCATATTTTATGAGTGAGGTGAAGAAGATCAGACGCACGGAGGAGGCCCAGACAAAATAATATAGATTATTATACAGCATATAATATACATCAGCCATAAATTGTAGGTAAGTCTTTGGCTTCCAGCTGTCGAGAAATATTCATTGTGGGTGACCTTACAATATAATATAATAATACGTTTCTCTACGAAGTCCTTCACCTCTATACCTATATCATGGTAGCAATGCTAGCAAATGTCATTSGTTTCACAAAATTCGCATGATATCAACTATATTATTACAATATTACCTACACATGACCCGTTTGAATATTATATAATATCTAGTTGGGTACTACCTCTTACATAATTATGTGATGCTTTGTATACACATTATTTTATGTTTCCGGTTAAAGGTGTAGTGCTTGTATTTATAACGTTTTATTGTATAGTTCAAAATTATTCGTGCCCAGATGATAATAATAATATGTGGTAATGRCTAATAGCTATTTTCGTTTACGATYTTTATTCACATACTAAACATAGTATGATATATTATTCTTTAATAAACTCTTACATGTACAACATCCAGATTTTAACAAACACTGCAACTCTTAGCATAGAATATATTTGCTTTTATTTAACTAAAAACATAAAGATAATTATGTTACGTCAGAGATATATTTTAAGAATTTTGCGCCTCTATGAAAAAAACGCACC